GAGAGAGAGAGAGAGAGACAGCGTCACATCACATTACAGTAGAGTCAGCTGTCTTAACCGTAGCTTGTGTACTGCATCATCACTGTGTCTGTCACGCGACTCTGTTCCCCTTTCAGGCTTGAACTGATGATAAAACTAATGACATTATTTACTGTCTTTACTTTTATTTTGAAAGATGAAGCTCGCGATTATGGTAAGGGGAGTTACATTTCCGACGAGTGCTTGCGGTGTTCGGCCAATCACAATGCACTGGGTCAGCTGGCCAATCAGAGCAGACTGCGCTTGTCGGAAGGAGGGACTTTGTAGAAAACGAAGCGTTTGAGAGAGGCGGGACCTACAATAATGTACAGTATTTGAAAAATAATGTGTTTTTTGAACATTAAAGCATGTCAACATATTCTGTTACACCAAATACACAAAATAATGATCTTTGTGTATTTGGTGTAACACAGAATAATGAAAAAGCATCATATGACCCCTTTAAGAAAAAGTTCATCCAAAATTAAAAATGTACTACCCTCAGGCCGTCTAAGATGTAGATGAGTTTGTTTCTTCATCAAAACAAAACAGATTTGGACAAATGTAGCATGACATCACTTGGTCACTAATGAATCCTCTGTAGTGAATGGGTGTCACAGTAATCCACACAAATCCAATCCATCAATTAATGTCTTGTGAAGTGAAAAACTTCTTTAAACTGTTGCTTTCCATCTGAAATACGAGTCCTCTATTGATAATATTGTTTCCTCCAGTGAAAAAAAACATCTAATCTGAATCAGGAGAGAAATAGGCAGAGATCAAGTGAAAACGGTCATAAATGGCATTAAACAAACGTGCTGATGGATTTTGATGTGAGAGGACAACAGGGGATGGACTTTTTCAATAGAGAAAGCATTATTATGAATTATGGATTATTTTTCACCTTAAAGGTCCCATGACATGCTGCTTTTTAGATGCTTTTATATAGGCCTAAGTGGGCCCTAGTACTGTATCTGAAGTCTCTTTCCAGTCCCACAATGAGCTTTCCTTAGGATGTGCCATTTCTGTGTCTGTAGCTTTAAATGCTAACGAGGAGGAGAGAGGCGGGGCAACTGCCATGCTTCGCTCGTTTGCAAGCCATGATGTCTCTCGAGGAAAAAAAAAATATTGCGCTCGCCTCGCACGGTAGTAGCTCATTTTCTCATGGGCGGGCCAAATTCTCTGGGCGGGCAAAGCAGAGAAAGGGGAGGTAACCTTTCCCCATATGACGACATAAAGGGAAGATTTCAGATTGGGCCATCTGAGCTTTCATTTTCTCATGAGCGGGCCAAATTCTCTGGGCGGGCAAAGCAGAGAAAGGGGAGGTAACCTTTCCCCATATGACGACATAAAGGGAAGATTCCAGATTGGGCCATCTGAGCTTTCATTTTCTCATGAGCGGGCCAAATTCTCTGGGCGGGCAAAGCAGAGAAAGGGGAGGTAACCTTTCCCCATATGACGACATAAAGGGAAGATTCCAGATTGGGCCATCTGAGCTTTCATTTTCTCAAAGGCAAAGCAGGATACCCAGGGCTCGGTTTACACCTATCGCCATTTCTAGCCACTGGGGGACCATAGGCAGGCTAGGGGAACTCATATTAATGTTAAAAAAACCTCATAAAGTGAAATTTTAAGAGACAGTTTGAATTTAAAATGCCTTGATGAATTTATTTATTACAAAAATACACATCTTTTCACTTCACAAGACCTTAATTGATGGATTGGAGTTGTGAGGATTACTTGTGGATTATTGTAATGTTTTTATCAGCTGTTTGGACTCTCATTCTGGCGGCACCCATTCACTGCAGAGGATGACACACACAACCTGTTTTTACACTAGAAGTCCGTTAACCATCTGTTTAATCTGTATTTCTGAAAGTCAATGTCAAATTTCAAACAACTAGGTTTTATTTCTTTTAGCAAGCAAAAGACTGCACAAAACAGTCTAAGGTGACATTCAGGAACTTAAGGCTAATATTTATGTGTGTGTGTTTTCATTCTTGCCATGTGGAATCTCAGTGTAGGGTTTATTTATAACTGGCAATGTGTGAATTGAGCGTCTGTAGTGATTCACCTCCTAATGTGAACTTCTGTTCATCATAATGAGCTGAGCCAAAAAAGAATCTCTGTTCTTCAATGGGTGCCAACATAATGTGATAACCTATAATTTGATCATATCAAAGTTTATCATAGTTTTCTCAAAATGAGCCATTCATTTAGGTACTTGCATTTATAAGCTACTGTTCAAAAGTTTAAGGTCAGTAAGATTTTTTTTTGTAGTAGTACTTTAATTGAGCAAGGACACGTGCATCGAATGTGTCAGTAAAAGATTTATAGTAGTACAAAATATTTCTATTTGAAATAAACACTGTTCTTTTTGAACTTTGTATTCATCAAAGAATCCTGAAAAGAAAAAAAGCAGGTTTGTGCCACTGATAACTGAACTTATGGCTACTGAAATAGCCTTGCTATCATGGAAAATAAAAGCCATTTAAATGTATTAAAAAAACATTTTAAATTCTAATAATAGTTTACAATATTACTGTTTTACTGTATTTTTTATCAAAAAAATGCTGTAAACTTTTGAATAGTAGTACAGATGAAATCGATCATTTACTGTTTGATTTTAAATTCATTTCATATTTGTTCAGTTTTAATTATAATTGGAGAATAAATGTATTTATAAATTAATAATTGAAATATATCAATAATATGTGTATAAATAAATTAATAATTAATTTATGTATTTTGTAACGAAGTTGTAATCCTATTTACTTTATTTATTTAAAAAAATACCTTGGCTGAGTGCTGTTGTATGTAAAGCAAAACTAAATGTTTTGCCCTCTGTGTCTTCTGTGTGCAGGCATGTTTGGCCTGTTTTTTGGGATCTTCGGGATGTTGGCCTACGATGGTGACAGAGTCCAAGAACACGGAATGTTTCAGGGCTACAACACGCTGACCTGGATTGTGGTCGCCCTCCAGGTGAGCTTGAACACTTTTTTTTTAGTACAAGACTTCTGAAGTGCAAACAAGTTTACATGGGAGTCAGTACTGATAATTGCTTCATCGTCAACAGCTAACAGGAAGCAACACAAGAGCTTTTCCCCTGCAACGCATTAATGTGCAACAATATAAATTGATTTTTTTTTTTTTTTCCCACAGGCTCTTGGAGGGCTTGTGATAGCTGCTGTCATCAAGTATGCTGACAACATACTGAAAGGCTTTGCTACATCACTCTCAATTATCCTCTCCACATTCATTTCATATTTCTGGCTTGAGGATTTTGAGCCTACCAGGTAAAAAGGACATTTTTTATGTCTTGTGATCAATAAATGCTTTAAATTCAATTGATTTAAAGTAAAAAAAAAAAAAAAAAGGTATTTAATTGAAATGAAAACTGAAAATCCACTTGTTGTTCTTTTCTGTCCAGTTTGTTCTTCCTGGGCACAGTATTAGTCATAATGGCGACGTTTCTCTATGGTTATGAGAGCAAGCCGGCACCCAACCCAAGCAGGGCATGAAAAGGGGATGGACGAGGTGAAAGTGGAGTGGAACAAAAGGATGAAATGAGTGGAAGGACAGAGAAGAGGAGAGGAGGCGTAGAGAGCGGGACAAAAGGATTGATACAAGGTTGGATAACAGGCTGGGCCACTGCTGTGCAGTGCTGAGCTGAAGCACACTTGGAGAAATGCTCCGGGTCTCTGGTTTCAGTGAAACTCCTGTTTTATGTGAAAAACATTAATCGGCGCTGATCACATTAATGGGTAATGGATTAAAAACACTTCCTAACGTGCCATTTTCAAATGGCACAAAACTTGTTCGGCTTTTCTTGGCCATTTAATATCCGTTCATCTTCAAGGGGCAATGGCTGCTTTTGATTCGCAACAGTGGCCTGCAGTAATTTGCCACAAATAAAACTTGAATCTCGCAGAAACTCTGCAATAGATGTTACTTAGGGGGTCGTTGCATCACTGTATTTTTGTGTCATTATTCAAACTGCAAGTCATAAAAAATATTTTATGCTATTTTAATTGACTGAGTTGCTGGGTTAGTTTCTGTGCCGTAGAAATTGAGGGAATAAGGGATCTTTTGTAAATAGAATGTAAACTTTCAATATTATTATAAAGAAAATGATAACAATACTTAAGATGATGCCAGCCAGTCAGTTTGTGGGATGTTGTGATTATTTTACAGATTACCTCTGTCACCAGGCAACAAAGAATACTTGAGTTACTCCGTTATATGTGCAAGGAAGTGCTTTTTAGCGACTTTGCACTATATGTGAAGCCATATTAGTATCTGGTGAGGAGTAATAATAAATCAGGTGTATAATTAGCTTTTTTTTTTTTTTTTTAAACAATACACACATTTGAACAAGGGCAGCACAAAATTGAAATGAACAGGCTTGGCATTTTTTTCAAAAGGTGTAAAAACAATGCATGCAGTCACAGCTTGAAAAAGGTAATTAATTAAAAAGGCAAATAGATTTTACAGTCAGGACAACTCTAGCTGCCCCAGTCCTTCAGAACACACTGTGAACCTCAAAATCAATAAACTCTATGGTGACCTCTGAAGACCATCATTGGGTCATTTTTGAAGTCTGCACATCCCATTTGGCATGAATTCAGTTTATACAAATCCAGTGGTTTTAATGCTTTAAAGCGAACGGATTGGGTCCATTTGTGCAGGCGCAGGATTCTCTAGAGGAGGGTGCTTCAATAAGGAAGGCGGTTGAGTGTTTGTTGTGCTTTTGTGTCTGGATGTGTGTTTATCTCAGCAGGAAGGTCCGGATGGTTTTCACCTCTAATGAATAGCAGTGTTTGCAGCACTGTTCAAATCTTTCTTCCCCTCCCTCGATTCCCTCGCTCCCAGGTGAGCAGAAGAGTGAATTAGTAGACAGCTCCAGACATTCCTAAGCTTAGAGCATAGAAATTTAAGCAGCCGAAGTACCCTCATTTCCACTGCAGCAGTATTCACAGTCCAGGTTATGCTCAGGGGGGACAGAATTCTGTCATTTTATTTACTTTCATGTGGTTGCATTTCTTTCTTCTGCATAAGAACGTTTTGCAAAACACTGGGAACCAAACAACGTTGGAGCCCATTGACTTCCATTGTATCGATAATAAAAAATACATTTCTAAGACTATATATATATATGTATATATGTGTGTGTGTGTGTATTGGTCATACAGGTTTGGAACGACATGAAAGTGAGTAAATTATGACAGGATTTAAATTTTTTGGTCCAGTATCCCTTTTATGTAGAGCAGAAGTATAGTTTCTTCTCCTGTACTTGAGTCTGAGGATTTAAGGCAAATGTCAATATCAAATTAAAGGGACAGTTCACCCCAAACTACAATTTCTTTCTTTCTTTTGTGGATTGCAAAAAAATTCAGTGAATGGGTTCCGCCCCCCCAGTGCAATGAAAGTCAGTAGGGTCCAATGTTTTGTTTCATTGGATGGACAAAAACATTGTTTAAAATATCTTCATGTGTGTTCCACAGAAGGAACAAACGTCATACAAGTTTGGAGTGAAGTGAGGGTGAGTTAAAGATTATAGAATTTTCTTTTTTTTTTGAATGAACTGCCCCTTTAAGTGTCTCCCAGGCTGTTCAAGAACCAAGTATCTCTTTAAAGGCAGCAGTGTGGATTTAAGGCAGATTGATTATTTTGATTAAAAACCTTCAAGTTTTGCCACAACCTGCTACTTAGAGGGAATCACCACTAATGGTGGTCCTCGCTTGGGCCTCCACATTAGCACCTGTGCGTCATTAGCATTGGGTTTACCCAAAGCGTTAGGATGGATCGGCTCCATATGGGTCAACACCTTGGGCTGGTCCTGGTGCACCCGGCCGGTGAGTCTTGCTCGAGAGCCCAGCGGCTTGGAGGGGTCCACAGCGATGTCCACTTTCATCCTCCACTTCACTGTCTGCAGGAGGATCTTCTCCTGTGTGGCCATATTCAAAGCCACCAGCCAAGTGGTGAAGCTCTGGTCGCGTTTGATCCACGTGAGCAAAGGCACATTGCTCTCGCTCACCGGTACGGCCCATGTTACGCTGGGGTAGAAGTTATCGTTCATGTGGACAGAGAAGCGGGAAGGCTTGGATGTGGGGCCGGAGAGGGTCACAGTTTCAGTCGTGTTTCCGTACCATGGGTAACTCACGCCGTCCGAGTCACTGATGGCCTTCACCAGTCCTTCTCGTAACTCTGGCAGCTCCCAGCTTGACCTGTGGAAATTAATGTTTAGACGTTAAACAATTATACAGTGGTGGCCAAAATGATTAGAACACTAGTATTTTCGTGCACCAGCTAAAAATTTTTATTAAACGGTAAATAAGTTATTTGTATCTTTTGCTTAGTGTGTCAGAAATATCAGTTTGTTTCCAAACATTCATTTTGCCATTAGTTGTAATAATCCAGTGAGATTTTTGTTTGCCCAAGGAGTCTGACAACAGCCAGTGCTCCACACCGAGATCTGATCTCATCATCATCCAGTCTGTCTTGAATGTCATGAAGAAACGGAACAAACTGATGCTGATTTAATTTAGTTAATAGAAGTTAATCGATAAAGAAAATCTATTTATGACATTATTTTTGACAGCATCTTCATTTTACAGCATTTTTACACAAGTGCCTAAAACTTTTAACAGTACTGTAGCTTTGCAGGTAGGTTTCTTGAAGCATCTTGGAGACATTGCCACAGTTCTTCTGGATTTAGTCTGTCTCAGTTTGTTCTGGTTCTTCATGTCATTCCAGACAGACTGGATGATGAGTTTAGATTTGTGTGGAGCACTGGCTGTTGTCAGACTCCTTGTGCAAACAAAAATCTCACTGGATTGTTACAGTTAATGGCAAAATGAATGTTTGGAAATATAAACTGATATTTCCTACTGACACACTACTGCAAAAGATAGAAAAAAACTGACTTAAAACCACTTTTTAGCTGGTCAAAATACTAATGTTCTAATAATTTTGGCCACCACTGTATAAGTGTAAAAATATGGTGAGTCAAAGTGTACAAATGATAATTGGGGTTAAGGATGACATTCATTATGAGGGTCCCAGCTGCCAGTGTAAAATGACTCGGTGTGAGAGGACGTTAATGTGGCTGGGTGCCACCACTGTATAAGTGTAAAAATATGGTGAGTCAAAGTGTACAAATGATAATTGGGGTTAAGGATGACATTCATTATGAGGGTCCCAGCTGCCAGTGTAAAATGTCGGTGTGAGAGGACGTTAATGTGGCTGGGTGTTGTTAGGTATGACCCGACGCTGGCATTTCTTCTTCAGTACGGCACCATCTGTGTCACAGAAAACCCCACGCAACCACCCGCTTAGGCAGTAATACACACCCCCACACACATGTCCACACCTCCACACTGACAGGCCCCCCAGTCAGCATCAGAAGGGCCCACATCACGCGTCACAGGGCTCGTGGGTGAGTGTGAGAATGTCTCTATCTCGTTCTCCTGCTCTGTCTCTATTTGTAGATTAGGCAGTGAGCATGTAATTGCGTTTGCCTGCGATACAAAACTCTGTTTAGCGCAACCACGCTGATGTTTCAGAGCAGCTATTCTATTCCCGTCTGATCTAGTGACAGGCTGTGAAACTCATTTGTGGGAGTATAAATGAAAGAGCAGTGACTGATGAAGGTGCAAACACTCCTCCCCTCAGGCACTGAGCTGGTGTATGCATACTCTCTGTGAATGTAAATCACTGGTGCACTGCACTCCTTTACTTTACACTATTTGAAGACATAATTAAACAAAGGGCCACATATAAATGAAAGATTTACTTACATTAACAGAGTGACGGATGGGTCAGTGACATTTTCTAATGTCTTTTTTTTTGGCTTAAAGTAAAAATACTTTCCTGAGAATTAGAAAAAGTCAAAAAAATAATTTCATTAAAGGACTGAAATTCTGGATCATAGAAATGGAAATGTTGAAGCTGTTCAGCTTATTGTTTTATTAGTCTATTGCTTAAAATTATTGTTTTTTAAAATAATTTATTATAAATAACGTTGTCCATCTAATCAATCATAACATAATATTGATCAACATTTTTTTAAAGAAATTAACTTTTTAAAGAAATTAACTTTTTTTCCAGGTAATTTGACTCTATGAAAAACAAAAAACTTTTTGTTCAAGACAAATTGTGTAACTTTAAGATAACTCTTGATATTCATGAACCATGAATCAAGTCATGATTTTTATTATTGATGGTTTTACTTGACGTTTTTGGAGTTGTTAATTGTTGGTTATAAACTGTTTTGTAAATATGCCTGAAACCTAGACTCAAAGGTTAGGTAGGCTACATTTTCCAAGAAGTTGGCACTTTTTTCCTAAGATTTATTATTTTTATTTTTTTTAAGAGATTTTGTCATCTTGGACGTCCTCATTTGGCGATGACCCACATAAATGATTTCTTGAATATCAGTGGCTAAATTTCCCTAATTTTAGATCAGGATGTGTGTTTATGGTCAAGACTAAGTCATAAAACATGCACTATGCTTACATGCCGAGGTCTCCATAAGTGTTGTAGAATTCCATTTGAGTGCACGCTTGAATCCAACCCACCATCCAAGCCTCGTTTCGAGGGATCGGCGGCATTTCTATCCGAGCGGAGGCCTTGAAGTACGGAGTTTTGTAGCGGAGCACTATGGGTGAATTCTCCTCGATCACTGTGGGGCAGTGGTCAATAGTAGCAGAGGCATCGTAAACAACGATGTTCTCGCGTTTAATCCGGGGTTTGCAGGCGACGCTCTGAAGGCAGCCCATGGCTGGAGAAGGTCAGAATCAGGGTAACCAACCAACCAACCATGAAGGGTGTTTTTCCCCCTAATATAAATATACCTTTATATTCCCGAAAAAACGCGTCAATCTATGCCCATGTCCAGCCTGGGCTCCCAATATAGTTGCTCCTCAAATTAATACATTTGAATTAAGAAACACAAATCAAGAAACAAGACATAAATTAGTCAATCAAAAGCATGTGCCCCCCCCCCCCCCCCCCCGGGCCCTACTCGGGATCAACAACAGGTTGCAAGACCTTCGACCATCTCTTGATTTTTGGTGTCCTCATGCCTGTGATTGTCAGTCGCGATCGGACTTGTGGATTGTTCCTGGCTCCCACTTCAATCTGACATGTTCCCTTTCAAATCCACATGGCCTTCTGCAGCTCTTCGCCCTTTCACCCGTTTCTTTCTGGTTCGAGTTTTCATGTCACAACCGGAGGCAGAAAAACAGTCAGGTGTGGCGGACCGCTCGCCTCGACAGTAGGTGGTCGCGATTCTGTTTTTCTCGATTTATGTTTGCGCTTTCGGAACAACAAACAATTTCAAAGTATTTC